TTTTTTTAAACGTTTTAACTTGTATACATACATTTTAGTCATTGTACTACACTATTCTCATACATCTTAGAGACCATTCTAATTTTTTCAGATAAGAAAATTTGGATTTCAAACAAAACGTTTACAATTGCCTAAGTTCTTGTGGATGGTGATTATTGAATATCCCTTTGGACTGATCGGTCTCTCTGCTTGATTGATTGTATCGTCTTGAAGTGAGGGAGTGGGGGCCATCTGAGTGAGCCATTGACGCTATCTGTATCATGAAGAGTGTATGGTCCATCCGTCTTGGTTCTGTTGTGACATCGGAAGACAAATACCATGTATCTTCTCTTCCGTAGTTCATTAGTAAGATCGGGTGATGGCTGATTAGTTGTCATATGATATGTCTACGGAAACTTTGTTGCTCTATGAAGTAGAAATACATTTGTATCGTTGTTGTTGGGTAGAGGTCTGGGCAAATCGAAGTGTTCTTTAACCACATTGACTGCCCGTGGTCCGAAGACTAAAAAAGAGCAGAGTAGGCAATTGTTGAGTCGGTCTTTAATCGGTATTTTGGACGGGTTGTGGCTACTGACTCGTTGTCTCCTTCATTATCTTCAGCTGATGTTTTCGTCGGTTCTGGGCTATCCTCTTTTTTTCCTCTTGGTGGTAGTTGATTTATCTGTTTGTTGTATGATTTGAGGGCCGGGAGTTTCTTTCTGTGTTGTCGAGATCTGGTGGATGCCTGTGTTATTGTTATTGGCTGTTGTACTGCTCGTCATGGTTAGTTGTTGGCGTCTTCAAGACTGTCGATTCAGATATGACCAGGCTGGACTTTGGAAAACGGAGATGAACGGCTGTATTGCGATCCCTGTTTTACGGTTGATTGTGGTGCTGGTTTAGGGGTTGTCTGCTGCGGTGGTTTCAGGTGTGGTTGCTTGTATTGGTGTGTCCAGTGGTGTGCAGATGAGAAATGTTGGCAGGCTTGTTTTACTGTTGTGTTTTCTGAACTGATGATCCTGTTGCTGGTGTGGGATTCTGTTGGTGGCGTACTGCTGCTGTAACTTGTGGTAGAGGGGACTGTAACTTGGAGTGTAAGTGATGTAGGGGACTGTAACTTGGAGTGTAAGTGTTGTAGGGAAACTGTAACTTGGAGTGTAAGTGTTGTAGGGGGGGGGGCTGTAACTTGGAGTGTAAGTGTTGTAGGGGGGCTGTAACTTGGAGTGTAAGTGTTGTAGGGGGACTGTAACTTGGAGTGTAAGTGTTGTAGGGGGACTGTAACTTGGAGTGTAAGTGTTGTAGGGGGACTGTAACTTGGAGTGTAAGTGTTGTAGAGGGGACTGTAACTTGGAGTGTAAGTGTTGTAGAGGGGACTGTAACTTGGAGTGTAAGTGTTGTAGAGGGGACTGTAACTTGGAGTGTAAGTGTTGTAGAGGGGACTGTAACTTGGAGTGTGTTGTAGGGGGGACTGTAACTTGGAGTGTAAGTGTTGTAGGGGGGACTGTAACTTGGAGTGTAAGTGTTGTAGGGGGGGGACTGTAACTTGGAGTGTAAGTGTTGTAGGGGGACTGTAACTTGGAGTGTAAGTGTTGTAGGGGACTGTAACTTTGAGTGTAAGTGTTGTAGGGGGACTGTAACTTGGAGTGTAAGTGTTGTAGGGGGGACTGTAACTTGGAGTGTAAGTGTTGTAGGGGGGACGGTAACTTGGAGTGTAAGTGTTGTAGAAGGGACTGTAACTTGGAGTGTAAGTGTTGTAGGGGACTGTAACTTTGAGTGTAAGTGTTGTAGGGGGACTGTAACTTGGAGTGTAAGTGTTGTAGGGGGGACTGTAACTTGGAGTGTAAGTGTTGTAGGGGGGACGGTAACTTGGAGTGTAAGTGTTGTAGAAGGGACTGTAACTTGGAGTGTAAGTGTTGTAGGGGGGACTGTAACTTGGAGTGTAAGTGTTGTAGAGGGGACTGTAACTTGGAGTGTAAGTGTTGTATGGGGACTGTAACTTGGAGTGTAAGTGTTGTAGGGGACTGTAACTTGGAGTGTAAGTGTTGTAGGGGGGGGGACTGTAACTTGGAGTGTAAGTGTTGTAAAGGGGACTGTAACTTGGAGTGTAAGTGTTGTAGGGGGGACTGTAACTTGGAGTGTAAGTGTTGTATGGGGACTGTAACTTGGAGTGTAAGTGTCGTAGGGGGACTGTAACTTGGAGTGTGTTGTAGGGGGGGGGGACTGTAACTTGGAGTGTAAGTGTTGTAAAGGGGACTGTAACTTGGAGTGTAAGTGTTGTAGGGGGGACTGTAACTTGGAGTGTAAGTGTTGTAGGGGGGGACTGTAACTTGGAGTGTAAGTGTTGTAGGGGGGGGACTGTAACTTGGAGTGTAAGTGTTGTAGGGGGACTGTAACTTGGAGTGTAAGTGTTGTCGGTAATTCCTACTGTAGTGTGTATGGCAATGGTTCGTTGTGTGGAAGAGCAGAGCTGATACGCTTGTCTTCTCCCGGCGAATGCCATTAGGATATTTAGTGTTTTCTTTTGGTAGTTTATTTTGTTGTGGTGCGGGATGATTGAAGGTTTTCAGTGTAGATAGAAAGGCTGCGATTATAAGTGTGTGGGATTGTGCTTAGTTGTGGTTCTTTGTTGGTGAATAGGCGAAGTGCTTGTATAGGTGTTGTGTTGTTGAGAGTGGGGGATACCCATCTTCTAAGGGTCCCGTTCATTTTGTCGTTTTCATGTAGTGAGAAATGCAGTGTATATGAACCGTTGTTTTTATTGTGTTGTGCGTTGTGGTGACGTCAAAGGCTTGTGAGGAGAAGTGCAAGGTGTCGGCTCTGCCGTAGTTGAGTAAAAGAATATGTTGGTTATTGATGAGTTGTCTTATTTTAAATCGCAGGTATGGTTGTTCTCTTGATGTGATTAGGACTTGCATCGTAGGCGAGGCTATTGCAGTTGAAAAAAGGTCCGGGAATTCTTCTTCATGTAGCTCTAAAGTTTCTGTCATTGATTCGGATAAGGTTTGTGCCAATTAGAGGGAATAGTGGAAGTGGGAGCAACCCCACCGCTGGAATTGGTAATAATTGCTTTTTCTATACTTAAGATTAATGAGACATTAGAACTAAATGTTTGATAGAAAAGAGAAGTTTTACAAAAATGTTATTGCATTACAGTTTTCTTTTTTAAATTAATGTACTACTCCAAACAAACACGAAACTTAATAAAAGTGTAGCTTTCACATATTAAGCAATTAAGAACTTAGTATATTTTTTGTGTTTCTTACTTAAAATTAAAGGCAATTATAATTTATCTTCTTTAAAATACTAAAATAAAGGAAGTGTTTATATTAAACTTTAAATATTCAAATTGAGTAATATGATTAGTAATTTTCTAATTACTATTTACTTTATTTCCATTTTTAACGACTTTTAATAACAACAGCTGCAGATTGTATCCCTTTGATTGATCAAATTAAAGGATTGGTAGAAGGTAGACCTAAACTCAAAATTTAAAAAAAAATGTAACTAAATTAAGCAAAGGTAAAATAATAATTATATTCATTATTTGTAAAAATTAAATTATTTATTTACATATATAATTAACATTTTAATGTAGCGCCCCACCCACCGACTTTTTCTTATTTTACTGTTATACAGTACGCTTTAGTACAATTGGTTTCTTTTCCAAGTGTTAAAAGAGTTATCTACTCAACAATCCAGTGTAAATATCTGCGATTTTAGTTGTACAATACTCTTCAATAAAAATAGTTTCTTTTATAAGTGGTAAAGTTCATCAACTCACTGATCCAGTATAAATCCTCCCAATCTAGGAAAAGCTAGAAAGTAGTTTTTGCCGTTCACTGCTTCTTAAAGGTTACATGTTGTACAGTTACACAATCAAGGTAGAAAACAGTTAAATCACCATGCAAAGGCGTGATTGTTTATAATTCAAAACTACAGCTTAAAAAAAGCTTTTAAATTATTTTTTTCTACCCCTTTTGGCATCCCCATTGGGTCGACGCACGCCCCCCCCCCCACCTCAACTACGTCTTTGGGTGGGGCTTGGACTGTTGCCGTGTATTTCTAGGTGGTTGTGTGGATGTTGTTTTTTTTTTCAAAAAGCTTACTATTTAAAACTGATTTGTATCAGTTATTTCTCATTTTAAATGCTTTTTTTTTTGCAAATCGTAATTAAAATGTGACCAAATGCAATAATTTCCAAGGTAAATAAAAATTGCAACTTGTGAGTATGGGTAGACTGGATTGTGACGACACCATAAAGGGGGGAGGGGAGGTGATTTGACTTTTTGTAAGGATGGGTGTCGATGGGAAATGGGGAGCTAATAACAGTTTTAAAAAGTGTGACGTCATTTACCGATTACCCTCACACAAAGATCACACAAGTGGAACTCCAAATTGGTTGTAGAAAGTGCTAAAAACGTAAGCTGTAGTATTAGTCACAAAAATTGATTGTAGAAAGTGCTAAAAACGTAAGCTGTAGTATCAATCACAATAATTGATTGTAGAAAGTGTTTAAAACGTATGCTGTAGTATCAGTCACAAAAATTGATTGTAGAAAGTGTTTAAAACGTATGCTGTAGTATCAGTCACAAAAATTGATTGTAGAAAGTGTTGAAAACGTAAGCTGTAGTATCAATCACAAAAATTGATTGTAGAAAGTGTTTAAAACGTAAGCTGTAGTATCAATCACAAAAATTGGTTGTAGAAAGTGTAAATCTGTCAGTCACAAAACAAAGCAAGGAACCCGCGAGTTCATTCATGAAGTTTATTTATAGCCGTCTCGCTCCACTGAGTTCATTCGTACAGAAGAAAAAATAAACCTACTTCCCCATACTAGCTACATGATAGTATTGTTTCGTTTTTACACCGGTAAGTACTCAATCACCGCGGAGCTACAAGAAATCATTACTGCTACCAACGAGCTGTAGAAAGTTAAACTAGGTACTTCTAGGTATAACTTTGTATTCCAACTTACATAATCTACACAATATTAATAGAAAATTATATAATAAACAGCATGGTTATGAGTAATAAAGTAGTTTATTGAATGTATTAATACGTGATCATACGGATGAAGCCGTAACGATGGATTACTTTTATTGAATGGGACAATCACAACAATATTTCTCATTTGGTCATTCACAACACGCACCCATCCTCACACACACAAGACAGACTAAGCTAGGGCATACATATATAGGACACGTCATCATGTGACGTCATAACACATCGTGATACACGTGACTAGAAAAGGTGCAATGATTGGCTGATCTACCAGGAGACGATGCCTTCAAGGTCGTCTGTCTTCATGTCCTTCTCGCTGAGCTCGTATTTCTTGACCTCGTTGACGGTGCACTCGGTGAAGCGGATGGGTCTCTTGGGCTTCTGGTCCTTATCTTGTGCGCCCATTCTGTTGATGGCCATCAGGTATTGCTGTCGGGGGGAGAAAGTATTACAGGTAAAAACAGAATTATCACCTGATAAAACAAATCTCTATAATCAAGCAAGTTGTTTTTTCTAGTTCTAATCAAGTTCTAATTAAGAATTTTTGAAATAGCTGCTTAAACTAGTAGCTTCAGCCAAACAAAATAGTTAAGAACATATTGGAATAATTTGAATAGTGTTATTTTATTTTATTGTAGAATCGACCGAAAACTCTTTGCGTAAAAGTGCAAATTGAATAGTTCTGTAGTTTTCTTTTGATTTTTTTTGTTGAGTTTTAAATAACACTCCTATTGTTAATTTATTTTGTTATTCTATTTTACACATTTTATTTCTTTCCAATTTAGCAAAAACTATTTCCATTCAACAAAATTAATAAATTAGCATTAGTTTTTCCATCGTAGAAATGCTCTGTTCGTATCTTTATACCAATTCCTAACTAAATGATAGTTGAATCTTGTAGATGAAACTAATAGTTGGGTATGCAACAATCTGAGGGATAGAGACCATCAAATAAAATAAAAACTTACGTAGCCTTTAACGACTTTGCCGAAAGCAACGTGTTTCTTGTCGAAGAATCTGGAGGCCCCCAGACTGAGGAAGAACTGAGAGCCGTTGGTGTCGCGGCCTTTGTTGGCCATGCTGACGATGCCGCCGCTGGTGTGGCTGATGATGAAGTTCTCGTCGTTGAAGTATTCGCCGTAGATGCTGGTACCTGCAGCGGATCAACGGCAATATGTAGAGGTGTGGGAGGGGGTGGAGCAGGACGACGCAACACCATGTATGGGTGGGGGTGAGGGGGGGCTAGGTGTTTTAGGACTTTAGCAATGCTTGGGTGAAGGGGCGGGAAGCGTCAAGCCTTTTGTTACAGGGGTATGTAATTAAGACAGTGCCTAAGTCTAGTACTCAATTACGTGTTTTCGTAGGAGTATGAATACCTGGGTACATTAACTCCAGATTAGGTGAATAACTAATTAATTGAAAGCACCAATACCTTAAATGTGTGTGCAAAAGAAAAAGGCAGTCTTGTGCAACATTTTGTTTTCAACAAAAAAAGTAAATCGCAAAAAATGTCTCGATTTTTTGCGGATATTTTTGTTATTTACTAAAAATATTCCATCGTTAAATAGCTTTAAAATATTTTGTATAGGTAATTACCCGTACAGAACAAGATATAACAAGACTATTCACACAACACAAGTGTGCTTGGACCCACTTAAACCTAGGGCATTGTCTACAACCTATCAGGGGAGATTCTTATACAACACTTTATTTCAGCTCAAGTGATCTATCTGACGTCTCATTTATAACAGAAATGTTGCACTACATATTTCGTTATTAAAAAACCACGTAGACTGCACGGAAAATTCTTAACACTATGAGTAAATGTCAATGACCCATGTCACGTGACAAATATCGTGTCACTTGACATGTCTTCCATTGTTTCCTTTAGTTAAATATTTGCTTCACTATGCCAAAGGTACTTCTATTGTACTTATCTACAGGACATAAGATTTAACTGGTTGTCGTGGCATCAGATTGGTGTTGTATTTTGTCAGTGGCTGGTGTATGACGTAACCTATGATTTATGCATGTATGTGTGCGTCATTTAGCATTAAACTGTTGCGTGGCGTGTTTAGTTTGATACAGCTTCCACCTACTTTACATACAGCACTTTACATATACTGTATGGGAAACACTCTTAAGACGTTTAGTGGGACTGGTGTTAGCTTTATAATATGTAGAAATGTGTGTACTATGTGATTAAAATGGATAAGAACCATGAACGATTTAGTGGTTTTAACAATGTATAAGAAACACGAACTATATAATGGGTTTAACAAAGTATAAGAATAGTGTGGGTTAACAATGGGTAAGAATCATCAACTGCCAGCTTAATGATGAGTAAGATGCAAGTACTAAAGTGCCGGATAGTAAGAAACAGGTAGTACTAAAGTGCCGGATAGTAAGAAACATACAGTACTAAAGTGCAGGATAGTAAGAAACAGGCAGTACTAAAGTGCCGGATAGTAAGAAACATACAGTACTAAAGTGCCGGATAGTAAGAAACATACATTACTAAAGTGCTGGATAGTAAGAAACATACAGTACTACAGTGCCGGATAGTAAGAAACAGGCAGTACTAAAGTGCCGGATAGTAAGAAACATACAGTACTAAAGTGCCGGATAGTAAGAAACATACATTACTAAAGTGCTGGATAGTAAGAAACATACAGTACTAAAGTGCTGGATAGTAAGAAACATACAGTACTAAAGTGCCAGATGAGCAAGAAATGTGTACTCACTTCCTCTACCGTCCAGACCGAAGACGTCACCACATTGGATGAGCATGTCTTTGACGAGTCTGTGGCAGTATGTGTTTCTGTAGCTGATCTTGGCCTCCTCAAAGCAAATAGGTACATTTTAGGGCAACAGCACGACAAACTGGCCACAATTAATACACAATAAACACACATCTAATGCACTTCAATAGTTATTAACTTTTGTGACAGGAATTTAAACTCAATTTAATCAACCGATTCCCAATACATTTTATAAAATAAATTTTAAACTACAATTTACAACTGTTACGTTCCGAACTTAAATAGGTCTCTATCATTAGTAAACATGTTCTAAACTT